GTGCGGGTTGCTGTAAGGGGATGTTGGTAATTTGTTTTGTTTATTGTTATGTTATTGCCGGTGTATTTTATTGTGTTGTTTCTATGTGTTTTGATTTTAATACGGTTGTGATGTGTCACTGTGTTAAGCACTTTGGGCAGCTATGGTTGGGATAAATGTGCTATATAAATAAAGTTGATGATGATGATGATATAATCAGTGTAGGCAGGATGGTGGATTGTAGAGTGATTTTTCTGCCTTTCAAAGAGAAACAAGCTCTGCTCCAGTGTAAGAATCTATTCAATTTCAACACTAGTTACTGTCTAACCAAATACTGTAGGTACTGTAGGTTAGTGGGTTGTGCTCTGGTGAAATTCACAGGTTTGATCCTTCTGGAGTTTAGAACAAGCTTGAAGTTAAACAGGGAGGTCACTGCCAACAGACTGAACCTGTACCCATCAGTATACAGAACCAAATACCAAGGCACGATGGCGCACTCCACTGTTGATGTCAGGTAATTACAGTGTGTGTTTTCAGTGGCACCAGTGGTGGAAAGACGATAATGAAGAGCATGAAACTGTTTGCTGTCTGAGTATTTTCCATTTGTGAGTCTTTACTATTTAAATGTAAATTCATCAGAAAATAACGGCAGTTACACATAAACTGTACACAGAGTTGTTTATTATCTGCCTTTAACGACTGACCAAAAACTGTTCTGATGCTAGAGTTTAAACAGGAAATAATTAAATGCACACTCATTTATTTTATAGCCAATAAAGTGTCACGTTCCATGTACCAAGTAAGATCAACACTTCAGATGAAAGCTGATACCTTTGTTGTCAATTAGATTCTGCATTTTAAGACTGTATAGAGAATAAAAACCAGTTTTAACCATTTTTTAAAATCAGAATACCGTCTTATAAGAGCTGGTGTTATAAACGTTCCTGTTCATTTTAGCAGCAGCATGTTTGACTGCAGAGCCAGGCAGTACCACCACCTGGTCAGCAGGTAGCAGCATTAACACACTTATTACTCCCCCTGTATAACCTCGCCTGTGACAGTTTCAAGTTGAGTCTGTTACTGCAGCTGTTAACATTTCTCACACTAGGTCAAATTGTTTTCATCAAATTACTCGAGCATAAAAAGTAGAACCTCTGATGAATTCAGGCTTCTAGTGTCTACGTTGTCTCTTTTTACTGGCTCTCTTTCACTTTTACAGCTTAATCTTTCTGTTTATGGGGTTTTGTTTAAATGTTGCTGGGCCACAGTAAAAGTAAAGCATTCATATTTTAACAGCATTTTATAATGAGTGGTCAGCTGTAACCTGTCCAGTGTGTATAAAGGGTTTACTGTCATGCATTAACTCCATAGGCCACCACTTGGGATGAGACTGGATCAGAAAACAGGTCTCTAACCACTTCAGTTAATCAAATGGCACAACATTCCAACCAGAAAACAAGTGAAAAATGCAGAAAATAAAAGACTGGAAACGGAAAACTGTTTCTCCTCCTCTGAGCCCCAGACAGCACTTGTTTCTCTGCTGGGGTTCGGACCACTAGGTCGCTATGATGTTGATCAGGTGGAATAAAAAGGGTTGTGACCCCCATAGTGATCAAAGGGTCAACATGCCCCTGTCCTCCTGTCCAACCCTCTCTGGTAAACCCAGTGACCCTGCTTAACAGAGCAGACTGGAACACAGGGGGGCTGAGGCAAGGATGCATGGGGTGGATTGTGGAAGGAACAGAGATTAAGCATTAAACAGTTGCTTACCCTCCTTGATCTCCTTCAGAGCAGTATTGCTAGTCGAATATCGTTACAAGTCTGTTTAAGAGTGGGGGGTTACAGGAAGGACAGAAATGGTTTGTAATAGTTCAGTATCTGGTGAAGCAGACACAAATGATTTTACTATAGGCGACTGTTAAGACCAAAACATTTGTCGTTGGGATTTTGTCTGAAAAACCATTAAAAAAAAAAACAAAACCCAGAAAGATTCCAGATACTGCATTGTATACTGTCATAAGGATGAGTGAGAAAAAAAAACAACCTTA